TCTGAATATTGCCATACGAAAATTATTATAATGTACCCTAAAAAATTTTCTTTCGACTAATATCTCTATCAGGTATCAAGAATATACCTACCAAGTTCTGCTGAGAAGTTTATGTAGGTAGGTACCCATGAATATTTCCATATTGTTCCTTTTTCTTTTGCTTTGTAGGACTTCCAAGAGAGGCAGACACGCGCTATTAATGATCTACATCTTGTCTCGCGTTTGAATCACCTTGGAACCTGTTTTTCTCAGTTAACGTGGTTACCGCGACGAGAGCATAATAAGCTTGAAACTGGAGCTTTGGTTAAACACTTGTGTTTTCCAGAGAAATTTTCCAACAACTCTTTCACTGCCTTTAATATAAAAGGACTGAAAGGAGCATTATTTGGTTGGATGCGAAAATTACCATATTCCAAGTATGTTCCTAGAATCAAAACAAGAATGTTATGTCTAGAATGCATATTGAGAATGATATATGTAGATACCTACCTATATTCTAAGAATATTTCAAGCATATTGGTATATAATATTCTTTGGAGAACATAACTATAATGTCATAGAAACATTCTTTGAATGTGAGAATAAATATACATTTCAAGCATATTTTTAGAATCAAACAGGAATATTCTTTTCAGGATGTACTGAGAATCTCATAAGTATATTCTAGGAATATCCTAATCGATTTCCCAGGAAGTTCTTGGGTATTGCAAAGAGTATTTCTACAATCTTTTCTCAGAACATTCTCAGGACATTCGCAATGGTTTTGGCGAACATTCTAGGCACATTCCTCTTAAAAAAAGAACATTCTCAATACATTCTAAGGATGCAATTTTGTTATGTGGGATGTTGAGTGATTAGTTTTGGCTTTGTTGAAACAGTTGAAATGGCATATCGGCAACATTGCATCTACGAGCAGCCAATCAAATGATCTTATGTGACTTATGTCATCCATAACGGATTTGGCAGTGTTGCTGTGAAGTGATATAGAGCTAATTTTGTGATTTTGAGTCTTAATCAGTGGTATTTTTGGAATTTTGGATTTAAAACTGTGGAAAGTGTGGTGGAGAACGTTAAAATGGTACGTCAATGTATTATTTGTAATGATTCCAAGCACATTTCATTTCGGCGATAAGAAATTTGATATCATTTTACTCTTGACATTGGCGTAGTTATAGGATATTTATGGTAATTTATTGTGAGTGAAACTTCTATTGAATTCTGGGAAAAATCCAGAAGAAAATCAACACGCTGCTACTGAACAGTGTTGCCGTTTTATAGGTCTATCTCTCTCTTACTTATTTCAGGGACTGAAAGATGATTGATTGTAAACATTGAGCGATTTCTGAATGGCATGTTTGGTCTATAGTTTTATTATTAGTCTTAGTCAAAACTGTTCTACCTTGTGTATTCCACTTGTTGGAACAAAGCCGCTTACTAATCACTCAACATGTTGAGTGCTGGGTAAACGCGACCAATGGTTGACAGCACTTGACAGTGGTTTGTTGACAAGTGGAAAGCAGTAGTTGTATTCCTTTCAAGAGCTTGAAACACTCGAGCTACTCGCTTCGGTGCTTAGTCGCCCCCGATTTGCAGGGAACATATGCGTGGTGCAACAAACACTTTTCGAAAGGAATAAGCGCGTGAAGCCCCGGAGCTGTTCCGGAGCTCCTCCTAGGTGTGAAAGGAATACAACTAGTACAGTGACTTGAGTGACTCTATTACCACAATGGCGACAATTGCTGTCTTATTTTTGATTGGTGCTAAAATCCCAAGAATCATAAACTCTACAGGATTGCTCAATCCCATAAGACAAACGTTCATAAAAACATCGAAGATGTCGGTATGCGAATGACGTCACGCAGTCCTTGATCGGGTTGTGTTTTTTATGACAGTGCACTATCCTTGCATTTTCAAACGTGAAAAATTGTTTTTTTGAGGTTATTTCCTTAGAAAACTGTATTTTGTAATTAATTTATTGATTTTAAAATTAGCAGACTTCAAAAGCTTGTGTCCTTGAGGCTTGAGTGGTTGGCTAATTGCTAATTAGAAAGACGAGTTTGTTTGCTTTTGTTTATCAATTAGCCAAACATATTGCCAAAAAGTCAAAAAAACGAAGGGCTGGAGTCAAGCTGGCCCCCGGATTCGTTCCAATGTTTTTTTTGTGTATGAAAATGAGCACAATTCGCATAAATACTGGCACAATTGAGCACAAAACGGGCACAATTGACTACAGAGTTGAGAAACAGTAGAAAACCAAATGTGGGGTGCCGAGCCGGTTTAATTTTTGCATTTCAATATCAAAATATAAGCGAAACGGGGTTGCAATGTGCTTTATTTTTTACTGACCCTACCTAGGTACTTCTCAATTATTATTCTTTAATTTAATAGGTACTAGAACGATTTAATATGGATATTCAAAGTGAGCTTATTTCACAAAGCCAAATAGTGATACCTAATTTAGATTCTCATAATCATATTCCAGAAAAACATTGCAAGTTTCCCATATTTTCCATGCGTTTTCATAGTAAACGCGCCAGTAAAGGAATTTATTTACATATTTATTTATTCACTCTTCACAAACCCTAATTTTTATTAGAAATTACATGCAAAGGAAACTTACAACTAAGTAGATATTTGATTTATAAAAAAAAAGCAAAACAAATGCTTGACTAGGAAATACTAACTAGCAATACACACAAATAAAAGAGCGATGTCCTGATACAACAAATCCAGTATTATAAAACCAGAAAATGCTTGGGGTTTTCGCGAGTATTTTCAGCCACGAGTCTTTTATGCTTACACACATTAAATGAAACTTTAAATTTACACTTATAACACTAGATAAATCCGAATTTACGATAAAATAGTTGTCAGCACAAACTAAACATCATTCGTATCAGCGCAGCGGCCATCTCGAAAATCCGGCATGCGCGTGACGTCACAGCAATTGTGAACAAATTTAGCCGATTGAGCAATCCTGTAGAGTTTACGATTCTTGCTAAAATCCCATATATTTATATTGAAACGCCGCCATCTTGTTCCCAACCTCTTGTTACTTTTAAATATGAATATATGGTATTTAGGTGAACATCCGTCATAATCAACGTATTTGATGGACCTAATAATGGTCATCAAATACGTCGATTTCAATTTTTTATGATAGATGCCCATTTAAATCCTATATATTAATATTTAAAAGTAACAAGAGATTGGGAACAAGATGGCGATAGGACCTCTATTGTCGCCACTGTATGTAAAGGTTTATTTAGCCACTGTAGAAAGCAGCAGCAGCTGCCGGGAAATAGGACATACTTTTTGAAGAGTGACAGTTAAACTTTATCTGGTTCTCCATCCATCCATCCATTCAGTTTGTTTTCTTTTTTTGTTTTGTCCTTGTCAACGTAATCGAAAAATAAACGAGAATGATAAAGGCGAAAAATTTGTTCTCTCAGGGAGCTCTACTCCCTGGCCCGAGAATCGGCACGCAGGAAAAAAAGAACGAGCGGGTACGTGCTCGATTGTATCCCGAACGCAAAATAGAACACTGTGAGTGCTAAAAAGATCTTATCGTTTCGAGCGCGCTCAGATTTTACAGAGTGTAGCCGAACTCAGCCCAAGTTGTATTCCTTTCACACCTAGGACGAGCTCCGTAACAGCTCGGGCGTTACGCGCTTATTTCTTTTAAAAAGTGTTTGTTGCACCATGCATCTGTTCCTTTTAACTCGGGGGCGACAAACACCGGAGCGAGTAGCTCGAGTGTTCTAAACTCTTGAAAGGAATACAACTTAAAGTTGTATAAAACTTAACAGGAATAGAGAGTTATTGGACGTGCAATAAGGACAAGCAGTATTTAAATTAGCCTTATTTTGACATCTACACATGCGCATTTGGGTCCGAAAATAAGGATTCCCTTAATAAGGTTACTGCTTGTCTTTATTTGTGTATGGTTAGTGAGAGGCAGTAAACTTTCCTTATTTCAAATTTCTGACGTTTTGGACGACTTTGACGTTTTGCTTTTCGACGATGACGTAATTTTACTTAGAAAATTTATTTTTTACAATAGTTTTCCATTTTACTGTGGGTAACATCAAAAAATGAGTATCAGCAGAAAATCACAAACAAAAATAAACACTTTTTGAGGCTGAAATTAATAAACATAGCTATCATCTGTCAAAATTATGAATACAAAATAAGGTAATACTCTAGCACCTACTACAGTCTTCCAATAACTGTTTTTTTCTTGGAAAAATAGTGCTGATGCACTAATAAAATAACGTAGATCCTTAATACTGCGAGGCAGTATTTGATAGTTCCAATAACTCTCTAATATTATTTAACTTAACTTTATGTCACAGCTGAGAACACAGAACACAGAAGGAGAGAGTAGGCTTGTTCGATTTCTACAAAATCTTCAGTACGCAAACTGCAAGGCAAAATACTAAAAAACCAAAACCTAAAAAATACTATAAAATGCAAGTGAATGGATAATATCGACGGTTTTTATTGATTGCTAGAAGCATTTTCAGGCCTTTTCGGAAACAGTGATCCGATTAACCCGATCACCAGCTGCTTGTCTTTAATCTTCCTTTAATGAATACGATTAAAAATAGACAAACCTTGCGTTCGGTATTTTGCTCAAAGAGCAGAGCGTGCTGAGCGGAGCCGTAATCACGTGATCAGTGAGCGAACAGAGCAGTTGAACGCTGAATAAAAGTGCCAGAAATTTCAATAAACGAACGCGAATGAGGCTGCACCGAGTACACTTTTTAAATAAACGAACGGTAAAGTCAAGCTCGGAGAACTCGGACCAAAATAACGAACGCACGGAAAGGATATCAGCTGATGATCCGGTTAATCGGATTAGTGTTTCCGAAAAGACCTTTCGTATTCGCTCGAGTGCAAACTGCAAATACTGTGAGTGCAAAGCATCGGTATCGCAAGGTAAAATATCGTTTTTTGTATCGAACAATTGATCGAACATCCCTACCTGACATTTTTTTAGGTTAGGCTTAACAGTGGAAGTCATAAATTTGATTTGATTTTGTGTTGTCATCCTACAATTCCTACACTTTGTCCCTTCCCTTGTTGCATTTTGGATCATTTTTGAGTTTTCTCTGTTATCTTTAGCATTTTTCAATTACATTTTCCTAATTTCAAATAGTTCAAACATGGGCTCTGTTAAAACCATGACTGATGAGGCCAATTTCCAAGCTGAATTGACCAACGCTGGCACCAAACTTGTAGTTGTTGATTTCACAGCTACTTGGTATGTTTTGATGATACAAATTTAAATATATTTTAGCATTTTATACTTTACTGTAGGTGCGGACCCTGCCAAAGAATGGCCCCAGTCTTCCAGCAATATGCTACGAAGTACCCAAGAGCAATTTTCCTAAAAGTTGATGTCGACCAGTGTCAAGAGACTGCCGCTGCTCAGGGGGTGTCGGCTATGCCGACTTTTATATTTTATAGAAACAAGGTAGGTAATGAAATTTCAAATAACTTAGGTAAATGAAATCTGAATTATAATTTTTAGACTAAAGTTGACCGACTTCAAGGAGCAGATCCTACAAGTTTAGAAAGTAAGATTCAACAATATTATGGCTCCGAAGAGGGAGAGGAAATTGAAGGAATTGCTGGACATGTATGTATCAAATTGTCGGTAGAACTCTGATACTTCTCTGCATCTTTTAAAATGTAATGCTGTTGAAAAGTGAACACTGAGGATTTTATGAAAAACTCAGATTTTGATGCAATAGGGTGCATTCAAAGAGTTTATGCCAATTCCAATGGCCAGACTGTGCTATTGTTACATAGTTGACTTGAATGTTTTTTCGTTGCCGGTACACTTCACGGACACAAAAAAATTTGTGTTTTTCTGAATTTTATCAGAAAAATGGTACTTCAAGTAGTTTATTAAAAAAATAAAAAATGCGGATTATCCAGTATTTTTAAAATTTTAATTGTCGAAAATGTGATATTCGCCATGTTGTTGCTCCGTTTGCCGGATCTCAAAGAGAATATCCTCGAAAACATAAATCCACCCAAAACCAGAAAAATCCTTTTTTTTTTTAAATAACACCTTGAAATTTAAATTATTTATGATTTCTCCATTGCTTGCACTGCTCACCAAATCTCAAAGAGAAAATCCTCGGAAACGTAAATCCACCAAAAATGTGAAAAACCCTTTTATAAATACATATCCTGGCTATCAAAACGTAAAGGCTTATCTCAAAATAAGCCGAAATTAAGTTGATTATACAACTCACTGTACATTATTCCCATATGACATGAGAGGCTTAACAAGTGATAAGCCTTTTGGGATTATCGCGCTTGGTGGCATTTGTCATTATTAATAATAAAAATTAATAAAGCATTTAAGTTTAGTTTGTTGTATAACCTTTTGAATACCACTCGACACTCAACGCGTTACCAGCAACACCACGACTCCGTAACACGTAACGCGTTTCGTGACAGGTAAAAATATTAATCCGGTAATCCTGAAACCTCTTGTGGTATTACATTCGAGTACACCATTGAACGTATTTTATGTCTTCAGTGTTGTGACAAAATGTCGTATCTCAATTCGGTATACTTTTTCTATTGGAGATGATTGAAATTCGGGCGTTTCTCAAATATTCGGTTAAAATTTTAAAATGTAAAGGAGTTTCTCGAGATAGGCCCTGAAGACCTGAATTTTTAAATAAATATGCAGGCCTATCTTGAGATACGCCTATTCGTTGCAATATAGTTATGTTTATTAACCGTTACGTTTGAAAGCCTATCTCAATTTTGGCGCGTTGAATCCAATCGGGCGTCGCCGGATCCGTCAAGTTAGCCCTATTCAACTTTTCTATATTTTTTCGTGCTAATTAACTGGGCTTTACTGTGCTGCTAAAATTAGGAACTTCTCTGGGTTGCACTCAACTCTGTTCACTGAGCATCAAGTTGGGCCTTCCTGATTTTTTTCTGAATAGCATTTATGCCACTCAGTATAGTTCCTAACACTAGCAGCACAGTTAAGCACACTGAGAGCACAGTGGATTAGCACACACAAAAAATACAGAAAAGTTGAATGGGCACGTAACTTGACGGATTTAGCGTCGCCTTGGATTATGGCTATATATTTTTATAGACGCAAAAAAGACCTATGTGGTATATGCGAAACTTATTTTGTAGGGTCTGCTACACTACAATACTGAAAATGCTAGATTCGTATGACGCACATATAAAATCAAAAAATCAGTTTGATTTTTCACCACTTACCATGGGCACAGTGGAGAAGACTCTGCACACAGTGCAATCTCATAGGGTTTTAACAAAGCCGGTGATCAGTCCGTACCTTAGTGAGCATTCACACCAAAGTAGCATGCAACGCGCTTGCTGCTTTCTAGCAGCACACTTATCCTACCAATTTATAACAATATTTTGACTGGCCAGACCATCTAAGCCTTGAGAAGTGTTCACTTTGAGCTTTGATGACTTTCTAGACTTCCAAATTCCAAAATTTAGTTAAAAACTCAGAGTTCGATCTATATATGAACTGATGATACGGAAATGCCTTTAAGGTGGACGGAATGGTTGAAGTTTAGGTTTAGGATCAAAGAGATAATACTCTAATACAATTATCTTTTGAAACAAGCTGTTCAGATCAGTACTATGGTTCTTTGAGTTTTTAACGACAAAACGAGTCAGTGCTATCAAAAAACCTCAATAATTTAAAGCAAGGGCCTCGACCCACATCAACAGAAAAGTACTATGTTTTAATTATTATTGCTTTCTGTTCTGGAGAAACGCCGCTAATCAGAGTACCTGAGCACATGCAATTTTATAATTCGACTTTGCTTCACAAAAATAAAATCTAAGAATAGAGCCTTTTGCATATTCTTTTTTAGGCAAACATTATTATTCAGTTCCTCAATCAGTTTCTTGAGCTGCTATATATAGCTTTTTTGTTTATAGGTCTCACGAGTGTAAAACTAAAGAATAGGGATGTTTTAAATATTATTTTATAAAACTCATCAGCTCCCAAGTCAGTTTCCAATCTGCTATAGTTGATGTTAGTTTTTTTTCTATCAGTAGGGTTTTGACTAATTTATTTCATTTACCAAAGTTTGTTTCAGTTCTTAGTCCAAGTATTACTATACTTTAGTTTAAGTAGTGACTTTCGCTCATTATTGTTGTTTATTTAGCAGCATAGTTGTCTATTGAGTATCATTATTATTTATTTTCTTATAATCCGATTATTTTTTCTTTTTTGCTGTTTTTTCATTGATTTTTTCAACACTTGTCAAGATGTTAAAATTTAATTTTTCTACTTGCGTGCGCAAAGTAATCACTTTGCGCACTCATTTGCGTGCGCAAAGTTCAACTTTGCGCACGGAAACTCTTTGCGCACTCATTTTTGTTACGCATATTTACCATAGTTATACTTGATTTTTCAATGTTTTGATGGTTTCTGAATAAACTAATATTCATAATGAAGGGTTTTAGTTGATATTAGCGCTTAGTTAACATGATGTTTCCTATCAAAGGTGTCCAAATTGGACCAGCCTGTACTGCTAGGAATTTGTACAATTTTTGATATTTGAGAGACTCTCATGAAAATATTCTAGCTGGTATTCTAAAAATTCCAGAAGATGTTAAAAGATTTTTTGGGATTTTAATTTAAGACACTCTAAGGAATTCCAATAGATTTTAAACGATTTTTGAAGATTTTGATTTGATTGATTTTTCTAATATTGTAATAATTCAAAGTCTACTTTTTTAAGATATTTGTAGAAAAAATATTGTTACTAACACTTGCGCAAAGTGTCTTTCCCGCACTCAAAGCTTATCCGAACTCCGCTTCGCGTCGTTCGTCTAACTGCTTTTTCGTGCGGGAAAGTATCACTTTGCGCACTTGTTAGGAAAATAACTATTTTCTCCAAACGTCAAAAAAAGTCACTTTGTTAACCCGTGTCAAGATGTCAGAAATTTAACTTCTATGCTGCTAGGCAAATCCAGCAGGTAAGCACCTGTCGAGGTGATAGAAATTTAATTTCTATACTGCTAGGCAACCGCAGCGGCAGTAAAAGTACTTTTAGTGCCGCTGGAGCGGCAGCAAAAGTACTTTTAGTGCCGCTCGTACTTTTACTGCCGCTTAACCATCTAGTTACCCCCGAGCTTACCCCATTCGTTTGGAGAAAAAATAGCGTGTTGCATACGGAGTAGAAGCACTTTTTTATGCTTCGGCAGTAGTGCAAGCCTCACTACGTTCGGCTCGCAAACCTACTGCTTCAGCACAAAAAAGTGAAGCTTCTACTCCTAATACAACAATATACTAATTTCTCCAAACGTCAAAAAAACGTCACTTTGTTAACCCCTGTCAAGATGTCAGAAATTTAATTTCTATGCTGGTAGGCAAATCCAGCAGGTTAACACCTGTCGAGGTGGTAGAAATTTAATTTCTATGCTGCTTGGCAACCCCAGCGGCAGCAAAAGTACTTTTAGTGCCGCTCGTACTTTTACTGCCGCTCAACCATTCAGTTACCCCCGAGCTTACCCCATTCGTTTGGAGAAAAAATAGTGTGTTGCATACGGAGTAGAAGCACTTTTTTGTGCTTCAGCAGTATTGCAAGCCTCACTACGTTCGGCTCGCAAACCTACTGCTTCAGCACAAAAAAGTAAAGCTTCTACTCCTAATACAACAATATACTATTCTATGCTCCTTCAACCCCAGCAGCAGAAAAAGTACTTTTAGTGCCGCTCAACCATTTTGGAGAGAAAATAAAAAAATAGCGTGTTACATACGAAGCAGAAGCACTTTTTATGCTGTAGCAGTATTGCGAGCCTACCGCTTCAGCACAAAAAAGTGAAGCTTCTACTCCTAATACAACAATATAATAATACTATTGACAATAACATTGCGTTTTGTTATTTTTTCCAGACTTAAACCTAAAACTGAATAATCCCATTGCAAGGGCGTATCTCACAAATATTTTGTTATTAGCTTGACATAAAGACGTTTCTCAAACAAAAGTCTAAAAATAGTAACAATATTGATTTTTTATAGATTTTCAGGTGCTTATAGTTTTAACCAACTTTTATGGCTGATACTAGACGTGAAATAAAGAAAATATATTCAGTGCTTTCCGATCTATACATAAGACAAAATGTTGAAATTATTATTTGCTCTACTGAAAAGTTACAAAAAATGAGAAACGCCTTTACGTCTTTTTAACGGCGATATAGCCTTCAAATTTAAATTATTTTTTTTTCTTCTTGGATTGCTCGCTCCGCTCGCCAAGTCTCAAAGAGAAGATCCTCGGAAACGTATATCCACCAAGAACGGGAAAGCCCTTAAATATAACACCTTGAAATTTAATTTAATTAATTTATTTATTTCTTGGATGTACAAAGAATATAGGTAGTTTAACGTGAACAAGCATCAACTCAACACAGAGTGGAAATAATTGATTTCTCAAAAACTACTGGATAATCCGCAATTTTTTTTTTTAATACTTTATATAAGACCCTCTTTCTAATGAAATTTAAAATTTTGCAGAATTCGTGTGTCCGGAAAGTGTACCGGAGCCGTTTTTTTCTAAGGTTTTTTATAGAAGATTTTCTGAACAACACTTAAGTTACATATAGGGTGTCCCGAAATAAATGCAACAAAATTTGTTTAGATTTTGGAAAATCGACTAATTCTCAAATTTATACATTGTTTTGATCTGTTCCAGATGGATCTATCTCCTTTCATTGCCAAAGCTGAATGCGAATGTCTAAATGAGAGTGACGAGCACCCATTGGCTCACGCCTTAACATCCAATGGCGGCTATTTGCAGTCAGATTGCGACGAACAATTGATCATTTCTATTGCATTTAATCAGGCAGTGAAAATACACAGTTTGAAATTGAAAGCCCCCGCCGATAAAGGACCTAAAACTGTCAGAATATTTATCAACCAACCTAGAACTTTGGATTTCGATATGGCTGATAGTTATTTGAGTGTTCAAGATTTAGTGTAAGCATTATTTTTTTATACATACCTTGTTTTAATTTATAAATATTATTAATAATTTTAGCGTGTCGCCGGAAGACTTAGAAGGAAACCCTATCAACTTGAGATATGTTAAATTTCAAAACGTCCAAAATATTCAATTTTTTATTAAGGACAATCAATCAGGAGACGATATAACTCAAATTGATCATTTTGTTATTATCGGTTCTCCAATTAATACAACAAATATGGGGGATTTCAAAAGAGTGGCTGGTAAAAAGGGAGAAAGTCACTAAAAAATATGATTTCCTGATTGCCCAATATAGGGTTCAATTTTTGAAATAATAGTGTAAAAATAATGATATTTTTATCGCAGAAAGAAATTGTTTTTAACAATTATTTTCAGTGATTTATGGTTGAATAATATGTTTAGTAATTTTTTTATTTGAACAATAAATAAACCCGGGAATAAACCATTTATTGTCTAGAGAAGATTTTTTTTTCAAACGAGTTTGTAGCCTAATGCCGGGTCCAGACCAAGCAGACAAAACAAAGACATCCATGTCTCCGACACATCCAATACATTACTGCAAAATTTTTGTCTTTTTTTTTGTTTTGTTTCCAAATTCCGAGTCTTGTGAAAGTCCCTTTGTGAGTCGGTAAAGATTAAGAGTCTGTTTTGTCTGTGTATTTTACAAGTTGTTGGCGCAGTGTAGACTGGTGTGCTGACAAAAGTAGGAGACCAGTGTCAATCCCTCACATAACTGAACTAAAAATTTATTTATGGAATAATTATTTCGCTTTTTTAAGCTTGGTCTCACCCAAAAACGTTTCCGTTTCATTTGTTTAACATTGGATGAAGATGAGAGAAAGATATTATAACAGCTGGCGGTTAGCAAGAAATCTTAATTTTTTGAATTTTTTTTCTGGAAACGCCACATGGTTAAGCAACTGAAACGCATTTCGCATCGACAACTGAATTTTGTTGCACATTTTTGTCTTTCTGGTGTGGACAGTTTGTTCCAATTTTGTCTTGTCTCAATACCCAAATTTTTGTCACAGTTTTGTCGTTTTTTGTCTCAAAATCGTGTTTACTTTTTGTCTGCTTGGTCTGGACCTGGCATAATGCAATCAAATATTTTCACGTAAACTACAATCATGCCTGCGTGGTTCTTTTTATCATGGACTGACATTGCGGAGCTAAAAGAATGGCCACCTGTCATGTCACGACCAGGATTTTCTGAAATTTTGAACAGGCGATTTCGATTTTTGCATAGTCACCTACAACATGATGTGAAAATCTCAAGAAAAGTTGTGGAAAAATTGCGTAAAAATCACTCCGATTGACGTCAAAGACCGATGACGTTTGGTGGAAAGGAGTGTGAGATTATCTCACGTTGTAGGTAAAATGTGCAAAATTGCACAAAAATCACAATTTCTATTGTCGAAGTCCGAAAGAGTTTAGTTGGCTGAGGGGCTAGCGCTAAGTTAGCCTCCCCCCACTAAACTTTGTTAACGCTTTCCTGTACATTGATGTGTGAAAAAATCATAACTGGTTGAGAAAAACATAAAGAAAAAAATCTAAAAAACTTTTGTGATGGGGCAGGTTAACTAACGTCGACTTTATGTTGTCCTTTCCCGTATCATGGATCTGACTCCAATAAAAACTCGTGTGAGATGGAGTGGATAAAAACTGTATTGGTTTTCAGTTCCGATAGTTCAAAATTTATGCTCATAAAAAATGGATAAATTAGAATTTTTGGGAGGCGACTTGACCCTCGTATTGAGGTCAATGAAGATATTTTGCTTCAAAGGAGAGCCAATAATTGCGTAGCGTAAGCCGTAAGCGACTCTCTCTATCTTAAGATGGAGAAAGTTTTCGACCCAATCTTCACATTTAGTGCAAAAAACACGCTCATTTTGCAACTTGTTACATAAATAGCTATTTCTTCATTGAAAATCGACGCAAAAATCAAATAACGAGCCTAAATCGCAAGCATTTCATCGAGGTCTGCGGGTGACGTCACCACTATTAGCTGCTGACGTGGAACGTCACTCGCAGACCTTGTGGACTCCGGAACCGACGAACGTACGTACGCCTTCTCAGGATGAGCAATCCTGTTAGTTTACGATTCTTGGGTTGGTTGGGTACTTGCCCCCCCCCGCCCTTATGCTTTTGGGCGAGCTTTCAATCTGGATAACATCAGTCCCGCTTTTTCATTTCATAGATCTGGCAACCCTGTTTTCGAGTCGTCGTATAGTAGAAAAGCTCTATCAATGAGCTCTATATTTCAATTGGTTAAGATGTATTATCTGAGCAGCATCAATTCAAACAATCCTATATCTTCATATGGAAAACGCCATCATTTTGTGCCCTACCTCTTGCTACTTTTAAATATGAATATAATAGGATTTAAATGGACATCTAAAATAAACCTTTACATACAGTGGCGACAATAGAGGTTCCGTCGTCATTTAGTGCCCAACCTCTTGCTACTTTTAAATGTGAATATATACGATTCAAATGGACATCCATCATAAAAAATTGAAAACAACGTATTTGATGTGCCTAATTATAGTCATCGGATACGTTGTTTTCAATTTTTTATGATGGATGTCCATTTAAATCCTATATATTCATATTTAAAGGTAGCAAGAGGTTGGGCACAAAATGGCGGCGTTTTCCATATGAATATATGAGATTTTAAAGAACTAATCAAAAAGAAGATGGCAATTGTCGCCACTGTGGTAATAGAGTCACTGTACTTGTACTTCCCCCTACAGTGACTCTATCGAACCACGGTTCTTATTCTTGAAACAGGAGAGCAACGTTCTCAGAAGAACGAGTGTTCCGTCTTTCTCAATGATATGCAAATGGTAATATAAGTGACAAAGACGGAACACTACTACAGCATCCTTTAACACGAACTTCACAGTGTGTAGGCTAGATGGCGCCATCGATAACGTCATGACGTCGCGACGCCAGTGTTGACGCTTGCGCAGACTTTTACGGAGGCGTCGGAGGATGGTGAACCGGCTATACAGTGTCATTACTTAAGTGTGCAACATATGGGACTTTTTTTTAGTAATAGCAAAAGCAAAATCAAAATACAAACAAGGCTAAAAGTTGGTGCATGTCTGATAATCATATTAGGTGCACTTAAGAATGGTTGCAAGTCAAACAGCATACAGGGTAGCTCATAAAATATCAAAATTGTAGTACCTAATATTTACTTAAATAAAATAAAACTTTTGCACTAAAAGGAGAGTTTTTTTAATAGGCATATTATCCTCAGTAATGTTTCAACTTGTTAAAAAAAAATTTGCGACATTTTAAAGTTGTGTTGGATATCATTGCAATAAACATGAATTTTGTGATTCCATAAAAAATTAAAAATCTAAGTTAATTTTACAAATATGCTTGAATTTGAACAAAGTTATGTAAAATTGATTTGATTTTGCTAACAACTTTGATTTTCATTATTTAATAAAATATTTGTTGACTAGGTACCTGAACTATTAATTCCGGCAGAAACTAGATTTTTGTGTTTTTTGGACAATGTGTAGCCGCCACGCCATCTTGAATGTCACGTGGTTTGAATTGCCTAATTATAGCTTTTTTTCGAAAAAAAATAAAAAAAATCTTAGGAGGCTATATTTTGGTATTTAGGCATAACTTTTAATTCCAAACAACTTTTCTCTATAACATTTTGCTGAATTTTCTAAAATAAGGGTACTATACAGTACAGCTTTGATATTGTTTGAGCTACCCTGTATGCTGTTTGACTTGCAACCATTCTAAGTGCACCTAATATGATTATCAGACATGCACCAACTTTTGGCCTTGTTTGTATTTGGGTTGTGCTATTACTAAAAAAAAATCCCATATGTTGCACACTTAAAAAATCACACTAGTATATATCTACTTTTGATATCTATCTTTGACTATTGAATTTATCTTTTTACTTGTGTGCAATAGATAGTGGAATCAGAAACTTCCCACTCCAGGAGAAAATAGCGCCACCAAAAAATAATAGAAAAGCAATTAGGTATAGTATTTCCAAACTCAATTGGAACATGGTACCAACTGGTGGCTGACTGGTCACCGAAAATTTCCAAAAGAAATGCACTGCCACTAGTCAGCCACCAGTTATGATTTATGTTCACCTTGTTCCAATTTACTGTGGAAACACTATACCTGTATCTAATTAGCTGTGAGTGTGATGTATATTTTAATTTATAGTTATTACTTTAGTTTCTTTTTTATGATCTGGTTTTATAATTCCCATTTTTCAATGTATCTGAGTGAATTATTAAAACTGTATTAATTTTCAGGTGCAGCATAATACTAAAATATTTAGGCTTATAAACATGGGCGTCGTTACGAGGTTTCTCAGGGGGGGGGGGGGGGCAGTATTATAATTAAGACCATTTCCAATAGCGCCGTAGGCTAATTTTTTTGGTGCCACGACTCTTTTTGAGCATTTTAAGGTACTTGATATCGATATTTAGTTAAAAATTATGGTATTTTTTTCCGCAACAAATTCACTGACCAAATAATTTGTTCAGTGGCGACGCCAGGGGGGGCCAGAGGGGGCCGGGGCCGCCACTGAAATTTAGCCGGCCCCCTCTGAAAACTTGCTCTCATGTCGGCAACAATGCAATGTAACATCGGCAGCATCTGTCGGTTAATTCGGTATTCGGTGAGCACAGGCCAAGAATCGTAAACTAACCGGAATTCTCATCCTCATAAGGCGTACGTTCGTCAATTCTCGAGCCAGTAGGGCCTGCAAGTGACGTCACTACTAATTAGTAGCATAACAGCTTATAATGGTGACGTCACCCGCAGGCCTCGATGGAATGCTTGCGATTCAGGTTGTGCTTGTTTTTTCGAATTTTAAATGTAGAAAAGGTGATTTCAACACGATTATAACGATTATACTGTGACCTGTGACTGTTTTAAGCTCGGCTAATGCATCTTACGCCAAGTGTTGAGGTGTTCGGCGGAAATGGAAGACATTTCCAGCTCAAGAAGCAGTCCTATTAGGTTGAGTGTTCTTGGGCACAGGCAACTGCGATGCTGTTTTCGGTTTCCTGGGATTACCCCAAACATAATAGTGTCGACAGGTACATCTCATTTTTTGTTCCAAAGAACAAAAGCAGTAATAGTATATTACAATCCGAGACGGAAAATACTTCATTGCTGGTCGAGAGGTTATTATAGTTTATCGAGACGCGAAGCGTCGAGATAAACTCAACCTCGAGACAGAAATGAAGTTTTCCGTCGAGGTTTGTATACTTTTTTATTTTCAACCCTTAATTTTCTGATGCAAAAACTAAAGATTCTGTTATACGAAATTTTCATATAGTGTAAAACTGGCCTTAGAAAAAAATATTTCACTTTTTTTGTCAATGTCATCAATTTTGACGATCTCAAAGGCCCTGTAAAGGCCAAAACAAAAGACGAAACCACAGGAAACCGCAAAA